AATCCACAGTCCCACACTGTAACATTAATAATCATCAGTGATGCATCTCAAGCTGTGGTTTGGACATAAGAAACGGTGGCCGCGACTCCTCTGTCTGCCCTGTCACTCCTCTGTGGTATATGGGAAGCAGACGTATTCATCAGGACCATTTATCTTTCCAATTCAGCCATCTAATTTAATTATATAAACGTACAATCCCTGTCTTTGTCATTATAACCGCTTCATTAGTTTTAAGAACATGAATAGAGCATTCATTGAGAAAACCTATAAATAAAGAATCCAGCGAAAGTGGAGCTCTCCCACTTTGAAGAAATTTATCTGACTTGACATAGTTTATGATCCGTTGGTCTCCGGTTTATAAATGACGGGGAAACTTTCTTACATCTTTGTTTTTAATTTCTAATTACCTTTAATGGGGTGCAATCCACATGATTTAAAAATAATTATTATAACAACAAAGAAAAAGGCTTGAAACAACTAAAACATGTATTTAGTGGCATAACTCGATGAATGATGTTGACACAATGAAAACCAAGTATTTACTCAGCCCTGTAAATTATAGATTAAGTTGAGGGGGGAGAGACTCTAGGTACGCTTGATGATTTGGAGCACAATGGAGACTTGTAGATTTGGAGTACATAAATTAGATGTACCAAAATGGTTTTCATATGTGGATCATTGCTGTAGGCCTCGCTGCAGTGAAACGTTGATTTGGCGTACCGCTGCATTCCACAGTCAATTGGTGGAATGTCAGCTTAGCTTAAAATGCATGCACTGAATTGACTTGAAATACACAACACAGCTGGATCGCTATTTTCCCTACAAGCTGAATGTTTCAACACTTTATGTTTTTTTGCACTCGGTATTTACTTTGCACTAAAAAATCATGTCTTCATTTAATCTAATCCCAGTTTGTTTTCTGTTACACCAACCCTTATCGGTTTCTCAGGCTCAGACATGGCGACTGCCACCCCGCTGTCTGGAAGTTGTTCTGTAGCAGAAGAAAACCACAGTGTTCTCCTCCAACAGCTTTTCATGTTGGCATGTGTCCATCCTCTGTACATGAATACATGAGCTGCCTTTGTTTCTCTGGCTCCGGATCAGGTTACTAGGCATGGCTGCGCCGTGTGTTTAATGGAAATGCTATGCAGGAAAAGGCCATGTGGCAGTCTTGAATATATGTACATCCGTAATGGGATACTCGTGAGTTCCTCTTAGAGTAACTGTTTGCCTTATTAGGCTGTCGTCTTGTGACTGCAAACAAACTGGTGAGTACAGTGAGATGGAAGAGATTCCTCAGACTGGTGTCCTGTATGCATTATTGCACCTCCGGCTCCAGGAAAGAGGCATGATGTATGTGCGCCATAGAGTCACAGGCCATCACGGTGTAAGTGCTTTTGCTGAGATGAAATACAGAACATCTATTTATTATCTGCTGGCAGCAGCACATGAGGACATGCTCAGTCCCTTGACCATCGCGGTTTATATGAGACGTCATAATTTGTCGCCTCAGATGGATGCTTCTGTTTGGGTCAGAGGGCGCGCGAGGCAGGGCTGATTAGCTGATGAGAATGAGTAAGGTTATAAAACAGACTTTTTATCATTGGCTGTGACTCACTGTGGTCATTTACACGCTGTATATTCTCCTCTACTTCAGCACTGCAGTAGCAAAGACTTCTTGGGATCATTGTGAGCAACAACAGAATGAATATCAATACACAGAAGATTCAAAAACCACACACATGCAGCGGTACAATCTTTCATTATAGAGGCGTGGCAGTTGTAATTTCCCACTCAGTGGATTTTCCGTAGAGAACGCGTGCCGGTGGAGAGACTTTTCTCTTTATTGCTGGGACTCAGGGGAGCCACTGTGCTGCTGGCTGAGGGCTGCGTGTGTGTGCAGCACGGGCCTGTAGGGGATGAGCGTGGGGCTCGGTGTCCATAAATCTTGCCCAGCACCCCCCTCCCGCTCCAGCTCCCCAACCCACCCTACCCTTTCACACACACACAGAGGCTCAGACACAGAGGCCTTCAGGCCTTGCCAGGCTCCCCAGACAGAGCTTTTTATCTTCAGCTTCTCTTAGCTTTACACTGACCCACGGCACCCTGAACTAATCTTAATGGTTGTTGGAGGACGTGAGGTGATCACGCTCCCCTGACCTTATGGTCGTGCTAAAAAGAATGTACAAAGTTTTAAGTCACCGGGCTATGTGAGACTATAGAGGGCCACCCAAGATGTAACAAGTCATTAAGTCTGCAGCTGAGTCTTAACTGTTGTGTTTGCTTTGATATATGTGGATAAAATAAAGCAGTGGGGAGAAATTATTTTACTTGTTTCAGGGCAAAAAATAAAGAAATTAAAATCTTTAATATTCTTGGAAAAAAAAGATGTTGAAGATATTTTTTTACTTTTTAAGAAAAGTCATGACTAAAATGAAGTATCTCAAAATAAAAGCACATTTTTTGTTTGAATATCTTGTTAACAGTTAAAGTATTGACAATTTATTCAAAGGCACCTTTCAAAGCACTTAAGCACACCGTACAGGACACAGTTAGAAAGTATATCCATAGATCATAAAATCAAACAATTCCATAATATACAATGAAAGTTAATAAAATGACCAGACAAAAATCATAATTAAAAAATATTAGGTATTAAATCATCATCAGTACAAGTCTCTATGTGTGTCGCCATTAAATCAGACTGAATATGCCAGCTTGAAAAGGTGTGTTTTCAGACAGGCTCTAAAGTTGGAAAGAGAGTCAATATTGCAAATCTTGTGGGGGAGAGACTTCCAGAGGCGATGGGGCAGAACGGCTCAAGGCTCAAGAACCCATGGTAGTCAACTGACTACTTCCTGGCTTGTGATAAAAGCAGTTTTAGATATTTTACAGGTAATGTGTACCTCACATTACAGCTGCAAACTACAAAAAACAAAACTTACTGATAAGCTTTTTCTTTTATCAGAGAGTCTCATCTAGAAGAAAAACAAGCAAATAGCTGTTTTATAAAAAGTTTGTTAGGGATGCACCGATTTCTCGATGAACAGCAGTATTGGCCGATTGTCGCCTTGTTGACTGCCATCGGCCTATCAGCAAACAAGATAACATTCACCGATGGCCGAGGGCGATGTTTTTTGTTGTGTCTCATCAATTTTGCACAAGTTAAAACGCAAGGCTTAAACTGACAGCGTCCAGTTGTCCTGGTGACAATAGGAAATATTATTGGTGCACTTTGTGCTTGGTAACAAAACATTTACAGTTTCATTCAAGGCTGTAGGTTGTGCCTCAACATTTGGGAGAGGGTACATATGAAACAGGGTGGTTTGGGGTCCTCTGCAAGACATTTTGAGCATCAAACACTTAATTTTCTGCATTCCGTCAGATTTTTGTGCACCAATTTATAGTGTCAATGGCTACTAATTCCCTGATGCTGCTACAGTGTGAACAACAAATCTGTGCAGAAACCAGCAGGAGGAGAGCTAGCTAATGTTAGCTGTTAGCAGATGGTGGCTGGAACTAATAGTAGAGTATTTGGCAAAGATAAATTATAACTTATCTTGATCTGTACAAATGTAATCTTCTAAAATGTAGTTTTTGGTGAGAGAAACACAGCTGTTTGAAGGAGAAATTAGTCGATGTTTTCACAGTAATAGAGAGTAGATATTAAACAGGATATTATGCTTTTAAAGCAGTTAGGGTTTAAAAACATGTTTTTTCATGTGAAAGAAGGTTATTTTAAAGGTCGTTTCATAAGATGGATGGATGGATGGATGGATAGATAGATAGATAGATGGGTGGGTTGATGGGTTGAAGAATGGATGGATGGATGGATGGATAGATAGATAGATAGATAGATGGATAGATATCGATCGATCCTAAATGTGTCTGATTGAATTTGTGCTTATATAAAGGTAGTATAATGAAGGGCTGAATGACTGTAAAACAGTAGAGTTACTTTCCTTAAATCGAGATTTCTGTTTTTCTCTGGCACCAAAGGGGAATGAAATAACAACAAAAACAAAATAAACAACAACACGACAAAACATCGGTATCAGCCAAACTGTTATTTTTAACAGTCACATCTGTATCGGTCCAGACTTTGACCATCGGTTCATCCATACTGTTTGTTGCATTAAAACTGTTGCTGTTCATCAGCTGTCTCTCAAGCACTAAAATGTCACAGCATATTTAACATAGTTTTCAGAATCTAAGTCACCTGTCACAGTGTCACCTGGGAAAATCCATAAAGGTAATGAAGTACCCTTGTGTAGCCCTTTTTGTAAACAGCAAAAAATTCCTGAATGTTGATTTTCATCCTCTTCTGAAAGGCACAGGAAACCAACATGTGCCTCTAAGGTCAGAAAATGATCTAAAAATTGAAATTGGAAAAAAATGTTGGCAGTAATTTAGAACACATGCAATTTGTATCATGTGGAAAACCACTGCTGTGGTCCTTTAAGCTGTCATCCACAGGGAAATATGCATAAACATCTACAACCAAAGAGAATCAGAATGTGGAGGACAAAATGCTGCAAAAAAAAAGGGATGTTGTGTAGCATTTCTGTGACTCGTGATCCATGCTGTTTATTTCTTCAGTTCCTGTGGCCGACAGAATGTGCTTACTGCATGTAACGCACGGTGGTCTGGTGATTTAAAGATGATTTATTTGGGGAAGGCGGTCTGTTATCAGCTGTGTGACAAGTGTAAATTAATCACATGAAACTCACAGTTGACACTGGGAAGTCCCGCGAGGCTGCTTATGTGGTTTTAGCCACTGTTGTAACTTGCCAACCTGCGGAGCGTGTCTCGCCGTGAGACTCTCTAAAAGGAGGCTGCAGTATATTATATAGATTTTATGGCATTACGTATTACACCTTTGTAGAACCCGCTGTTTGGCTGTGAGATTAAAGATGCTGTAAAACTCTGTGTGCGTGACTGTGAAGACTGCGGCGACTGATTTGCCTCATCCTTAACACGCTGTCTTTGTCTCCTCGCAGCTCCGTCCACAGTGTCCATAATGCACCAGGTCAGCCGCACTGTGGACAGCATCACCCTCTCCTGGTCCCAGCCTGACCAGCCGAACGGAGTCATCCTGGACTATGAGCTGCAGTATTATGAGAAGGTAACAATGATGCAGCAACACATTAATCCTCCAAGCCCTCATGGATCCTATAAATATAAGTTCCATTTCCTTCTCTCTCCACCCAGCTAAATAAATTATGCACTAATGGTAAAAATGGACTCTTTTGTTTAGTCGTACATTTAAATTCAGAGTATCCCCTCACGCTCGTTTGCATAACGGCACATCCTAGGAGGCATGTAGTCAGAGCTTCTGAGCATTGCTTAGAACTTCTGCTCATTCTCTTTCAATTATAATCACGGTCAGTCACTGGAAAAGGAAACCGCTCTCAGCCCTGCAGTCGGGCCACTGGGGATTGATGCGCAGAGACTTGTGGTTGAAACAATGGTGCGCTGACTGCTGTAAAAATAGTATTCAGGGGGCAAGCTCCACCGAATCAGCATACTTTCTCACAAGAACACAGGCGGCCCCAGATGTGCGTGGAATCAATGCACAGTGATCAGTGAAATGCACGCGGCCATTCACGAGACATACAAACACAATCACACAAGAAATACACGTGTGCACACGCACACATGTACACAAGCGTCCATCGAGCTTTCGTCTCCATGCTGAGCCGTTCCACTTTTGAGTATAATTCCCTTTTCTGACACTGCTGGAGAGAGCTGTCAAAACAATTGTCCCAGCCCCTGCTGCGGCTCAGAAGTGTGCACAGAGCAGTGGGTTGAAGGGAGCAGCTAAAAGAGTCTCAGTCTCCGCTCTCAGACCTGTCAGCGTTCTGGAGAGGAGGAGTGCGGCGGTGAAATACAGCTCTGATCATCAGAAGGCACGGCTCAGAAATGCCGCCTGACCTGAAACTGCCACCAAATCTACCTTCTTAACTGCAGCTGCTGGATGTGTGGCTCTTTACATCCTGCCACTTTATCAGACATGATGCCTTTTTGTGGTGGCAAATTATTCATATTAGATCTATTGTGCGCACTCTGAATGCATGTAAAATGCTCCTGTTATTTCAGTTAGAGAGCAAAACAAGATTTTACATAAGCTCTGACGTGCCGTTTGGTGACAAGACATTTACAGTTTCATTCAAGGCTGTAGGTTTTAACTTTGGGGAGGGATACATATGAAATAGGGGGGTTTGGGGGTCCTCTGCAAGACATTTTGAGCATCAAACACTTAATTTTCTGCATTCTGGTAGATTTTATGTGCCAAATTATAGTGTGAATATCTTACATTTTGTCAAAATAAAAGGCTGTTTCAGGGACAAATTCACATGTTCTGTCCCCATCGTCCCCCTGAAATCTACACCTGTGGTGCCATTTGCTTATAAATAGCTATAAAATCATATAATATATACAATTGTATATGAAATGACTCTACTAAATACAGTGCTGTGCTCACTGATACTGGTGTATGATTAGTTTCTCCTGACTCCTAGCTCTTATCCTAGTATGTAATTTATTCGCATGGCATTTCATAATTGTTACTCTTTACAATTGGACTGTAATTACTAATGTGCACCAGTGTAACATGGGTATTTTTCTTCTCCCAGGACCAATCAGAATATAACGCTACGGCTGTCAGGAGCCAGACCAACACAGCGGTCATCCGCGGCCTCAAGCCAGGAAGCATCTACGTGTTCCAGGTCCGGGCCCGCACCGTCGCCGGCTTCGGACGTTACAGTGGCAAACTGTACTTCCAGACCATGACTGAGGGTGAGAATTCAGCTAATGTCCCCCAAAGCACGCAGAGCTGTTATCACCTTTCATGCGTGGCCCATCGACACAACATGCAGTGTGGCATGGACACAGACAGCTGCGGGAATGAAAGGGAATCATGTTGTGAAGTAAACAGCTCAAGTGCTCCAAAATCAGATTAGTGTGGCATGAAATTATATCCATGTTTTCATCAAGTCTTTTTCAGTTTAGGAAACATTTCACATGATATTTATTAAATTCCTGATTGCTTCTGTTTATTTGATACAAAAATGTTGTATCTTTTTACCAACATGAAGCCTGTAAGTCAAGGATGAGGTCAAAGATGTCTTATCTTCATTCTGTGACCCGACTGGGAGAAGAAGGAACATTCAGTAAACATCAGTCATGGAGGTTAATGTTAGAGCCAAGGCCTGGGTTTTTCCCCCTCTGAACATCTCATTTCCTTCAGCCTGCAGCGCCCAGGGCCATCATTAGCCTGAAACGTCATACGAACATCCTCCATGCTGCCACACGCACACATCCCAGCACTACAGATATATCAAAACTGACTCTTAACTGTAAATACTGAGTAAACTGAGGACATGTAAGGCTCTGCGTTTTCAGCTTTTACAGAAAAATGTTTTTATTTTTGAGAAAAGTAAACCGGTTTATGTCCCTGTGAAACCCCGAATGTTGTTTCCTGCTGCAAGAAGATACTGATTACCATAATTTAGAGTAAACAGTGCACTTCTGGGATGAGTAAGGGTCTGAAAATGTGAAGGAGGGAAAAGATGAGCAGAAAGTAACAAAGGTTGTTTCACTGCAATGTTTGTGCGAGCCACGGATTTCTGTATGACAGATTTTTACGACCAAATCTCGCCATTATTCAGTATTCAGAGTAAACACTGATGAATTCCTTTATTTCTTTTTAAATAAATAAATTAAATAATACCACTGGTGCCTCAAATTTATGACTGCTTCAGTTAAGGTTTCTAAATAGGGATGCCCTGGAGTTTTATGCCCCTGCTCACTATATGAGTCATTTAATAATGAGTATCTGCTAAAATCAAGCCCTGATCCAATACTTTTATTTTCCTAAATAATACAGCCGCAAAGTGCACACTTCAAGTACTTTAAAGTTAATAAAATCAATCCAATAAAATAAGTAAATGCGTGCAAATTTAAAAGCTCTGCATTCTGTTAAGAAAAAAAATTCCCTGCATCCGAGCTGTAAAATATAAGATAACAAACTTCTCTTTCCTCAGCAGATTGGATAAGATAAGATACAAGAAAGGAATGAAAGCGTCTGTTGTTCTATTGCTCTCTTAAAAAATACACAGAAAAACAGAAAAAAATTACCCCGAAAAACAAAAAAAATAAATACCACGAAAAACAGAAGATACAAGAGGAGAGAGAGACAGCGGAGAGTTTGAAAGTTGATGACGGCTGCACTCCTTGTTTTTGAACATGAAAGCTTCACCAGGTTAAAACACCTGTGTGACAGCTGACGTAAAACAAAGGATCGTATCGGACTCTTCATAGCTCAATATTGCCGATCCCAAATAGTTGAAAAACGCCTTACCTTTCTCAAAATACAGATTTTTGAGATTGGATTGGGACCCTAGTATAAACAATACAAATGTAAAGGCATATAATAAATCAACAGTCCGCAGCAGAGTTCCCTCTCTCAGGTTAAAGATGTGGGTAACACTAAAATTTCCTGTGTATAGCATTTATAAACATTTCTCAAATTGTCAGTGACACACTATAATGTAGTTATAAGCAGATACAAGTGTTTATTTATTATGACTATGTCAAATACTATAACTCTTCCAGTGGGCATCCGTACGTGGAGGCTGGTTTATAAACCGATTCACAATGTTTATTTACCATTACTTCTGGAAAGAAAACCCCTGCATCAGGCACATTAAATAAAATGGCGTTGAGCAGATGCTGCCTCAGTTGTTTGGTTATTAAGAACTTAAAAATTCCCATCTAAAAAAAACCAATATCAGTTCAAGGGTACGCTATATTTAGAATATTTTCACTGCTCTACCTTGATTTTAGACAGCCCCTTACAACAGGAAACTGACGACGTTATTTCAAAGCCATGAGACTCCACTGACAAAAATGGTAATTGTACTTTGCACAACACTGGAGTTGCAAGTCTACAGCTGCATCAATCAGTTAGTGTGTAAGGTTCAGCAGTGAAAGTAATCAAAATATAGCATACACACTGATATATATACGGAAGAGTATTGCATTCACTTGACAAATTTAAAAAAAACTGTTTTATTGAGTAATTTTTCCTGTTTTTCTGAGTATTTTTTTTAATTTTCTGTTTTTCGTGGAAATTTTGTTTCTGTTTTTCATAGTATTTTTTTTGTTGTTGTTTTGTTGAGTTGAGAGCAATAGAACAACAGACACTTTCATTCCTTTCTTGAGTAAGATGCCTGCGTAAAGTCGACAAACTAATGATAACACCATCTATATGACTTAAAGACAAGAGTATCTCCCAGTGTCTCAAACCCAAAACAAAGTAAAACTGGATTAAACTAAACAAGCGGGTCATGTTTGCTTCCATTATATCGAGCTCTCAAGAAAGGAATGAAAGCCTCTGTTGTTCTGTTGCTCTCTTAACTCAGAAAAAAATACTCAGAAAAACAGAAAAAATTACCCTGAAAAAAACAGAAAAATAAAAAAAATTAAAATGTATTTGTCAAGTGAATGCAATACGGTTCCGTAGATATATATAGATTTTTTTAGGTGGCTATAACACAACTTGCTATGGTCCCCGTCCACAACAGTACATGCCTACCTTCTGTGCTGGTAGATATTGTCTATTAAAGACGTTGGCAAAGCAGCACTGTACATAAACATCAGATAGGTGAAAATGACACAAGTTGGCAGATTTCATTTATCTACACAATACAAATCAGTTGCCAGTTGTCTACCTGTAAGTGATGGCTGTTTTTAGTTTAACATCAGGGTGTGTAAAGAGATTACAGATGAAAATAGTTGTAACTATATAAACTACGTTTCCACAGGAGAAGTTATGATTGTTGACAGATACTGTGCATTAAAACACCGTGCTTTATCCACTTACATCAACACTATAGAGCATTATTATTTACCACTGAATGTGCACTGGAGCACATAAAACAGTGGGGAACTCACTAACAAGTGTATCTGGCTAAAACTGTGAAGTCGTGTGTCATTTGCAGTGCTCAAGAGAAGAGCCTGGCTCGGCCTCTGTGTGCCCATTCAGTAGCTGGATTCTTGCTCTTGGCTGCCTGATCAGTCTGGGTCTCACCCAAACATGCTCTCTCTCCTCACTTCACACGCTTTCTGCCAGATGATTTGTCCGTATCCGCGGCATCTGAGCACATTCAGCATTCTGTGGAAAATGGTCCGCGCAGCCACAATGCCAAGATGCTCTATGGTTCACCCAGCCGTATGTCTGTCTGTCACCCATTGCTCTCTCCATATGCAGTGGCTCAGATGCTTCCCCATATGTTTCAGCTTGTGACTCCGCGTGTGTGTGTGTGCTTGGCACCATGTTTATTCTATGTGTTTCTTCTCTCTATAGAGGAATACAACACCAGTATTCAGGAGAAGCTACCTCTCATTATTGGCTCGGCAGCAGCTGGGTTGGTCTTCCTCATCGCTGTGGTCGTCATCATCATCGTCTGTAACCGGTGAGTCAGTCCTGTACCAGTCTTTTTAAATGATCCCATGAGCCAATAAAACAGCTGCACATGCTACTAAAATGGACACTTTTACTTTTTAGTTGTGGTGCTCTTATTCAGTAAACCCGTATGAGGTCTGTTAACGTGCACTATTACATCATTGTTTAAAATTTACAGTTTGTACCTACTTGTATGTAAGTAATAGTTAAATGATTTGTGGTTATTTGATTTACCAGTCTAAGCTCAGCTTTGTTGTTTTTGTTTATAGCCGAAAGCCTTTTCTATCTATGTTTAAAAATTGCTCTTGGAACTGTGTGTAAGTCAAGCTGCAACCTTGGGGACTGAAAAATGAAGCCAATGTAGAAGTGCCAAAAACTGCAGTTCCTTGAATAGCACTTGAGGCTGGCTTCAAGAGCGAGTCAATCCCCATAGACCCTCATGTTAAAATGCCCAACTTTACAGCAGAAATAACATGTTTACAGCCTGGTACCAAAAAAAACCAACACTTGGGTCTCTGTTACAACTCATGAAATGTTACGCATAATCAGGGTCATGGACACTCTGAGTGACGGGTTGGTGCCACAAATAATTTGTTGGGCTCAGGGAAACAGAGATCTGTGTGGGTACATGAGACCCTAAAAAAGAGGGTGGATCATGGGGGGTACCACCAGTTGGTCCAGGAGCTTCTCCTCAATGATGGCTGTTTCCAGGCATATTTTAGGATGACGCAGGGGCAGTTTGACAACCTGCTGTCTATTGTCGGTCCATATAGCTCTGGGTATCCAGCAACCGCCACCACCAGTTTCTCCTCCACTGTTTACCAACTGTACACTTGTTGTCGTGACCACCACAAGACCCGCCTCTCAAATCATCCGATTGGACAATGGGGAAAAAGATGACAAAAACAGAAATGACGTGGGGTGCTTTTCCACTCTGAGTTGAAGTTTTTTCAACTTGAGGAGTTCAAAACGTGAGGAGTGTCGCAATGCAAAAAACGCAAGCAAAAAACTTAATTCTTATTAAAAACAATTATAAAAAGCTGCCTCCAGCTGCTAAAACACTTTATGTGTGATTGAGGCCTGAAAAGGTTTTTTCCTCCACTAACGAGTCGGATATTCACTTTTTCTGTAAGGCCTGTTTGTCACAAGCAAAAACTAGTATTAGCATTAGTATTATCACAGTCAACCGTAGCTGTGAAATCACCATGCTAACCAAGCTAGCAGCTAGCATTAGGGTTATCTCTACTGTCTCAAACAGTCACTTCTGGCTCCAAAAATCCAAGATGGCGATGGCCACAACACCAGACTTGAGGCTTTAAAACAGGACTCTACAAACCACAGTGGCTACGTCCATTATTTTATACAGGCTTTGGTGAAAATCCTTTGAGAGCAGTGAAAGAAACAGAGTGAAATTCCTCACATACACACAATAAAGCTGCTTCTGATTAAACCTGTAACTGTGAGTTGTACAGATAAAACCATCTGGCTTCAAAGATATTAATTCTTAATAAATTCCAGTCTTTCAGCAGGAGAAATAATATTTAAAAGTCAACATCGCTAACATTAAAGTTCTGTAGGTGCTCCAGCTCAGAGGGTATCAAATGTTTGTAACCCTGCCAAGGTTAGGATTTCAGCTCCCACTGGGGCGGCTCATATTAAAACTGTAGCTTAGCTTTTGTTCAGTGTTTTGATTCACAAGATGAATTTCTGAGTGTGTGTTCTGCTTGCAGAGTCCCTGCAGTACTTTGTTTTATCTTGGATAATGACGGCCTAATGACATAGGTTGTGCTCTGCGTTGTGGGATAGTTTGGGAACATCGCCAGGATAAAGTGAACGAGTGTGTGATTTTAAGAACTCTCCGACAGTCAAAGAAATAAAAAGGTTCTAATGCACTCTGATGGCCCTATCACAGGACTTTAAAAGATATTTTAATATGTCCTTGTCAAACAGCTCGCCAGTGTAAACTTAGCTGACAAATTGTGGAAGAACACAGTGCGGTGAAGCCAGTGTTGAATAAAAACTGTCCCCATCATTAAAAGGATGGAGTGTAAAAAATAATACACATTGGAAATTTTTCTATGTGAAAAATAGATTACTCCATACAAAAGATATTACATTTGTCTCGTCACATATAACCAAAGTCATATGATTCTGAAGTAAAAGTATGATTTTGTCATTAGGGATAACCCTTTTTTCCCAGTGGTGCTGGGCAATATATTTATTTTATATTGTTATCCTGATATGAGACTCGATATCGTCATAGATTTTGGATCCTCTAATATAGTAAGTGTTGTCTTGTCTTGGTTTTTAATGGTTACATCAAAGTAAAGAAATTTTCTGACCTTACCAGACTGTTTCTCCATTTAGTCATTATATCCATATTACTGATGATTATTAAAAATCTCATTGTGTAAATATTATCTTATATTGTGATATCTGTATTAAGGTATTTGGTCCAAAAAATCGTGATGTTTGATTTTCACCATATTGCCCAGCCCTATTTGCTGATAAAGATTTTTATAGATCTGCAGATATGGATTCCTGATCCAGTATTAGTGCTCTCTTTTCCCTTAAATTTAAATTATGTCACTTTGTGGAACTCTTTAGGATCATTTTTATGTAAAGTAACATGAGGCCAGAGAATGCTGTGGCACAAAAAACTGAGTGGGTGTGGAAAAAACAGAACTTAATAATAAATTTGGCAAAAAAGATATGTTTATGTGAATCAGTCACACCTTGTCATAACTCTATCTGTTCACTACAGTTAACATCAGCTCCAATACTGAGTCTTAAGGATCAACTTATTCTTACTCCCAACTTGTCAAATGCTAACGCTTGGTCAGTGGCCCTACACACGTCAAACTATGCCGCTCTAAGTACCCCTCCAGTGTCAATTTTGGACTCTCAGGGATGGCATGTCAATTAACGCTTGTTACATGCATGGATTGTTTGCAAAATAAACTTCAGTTTTACAGGAAAATGTGCAGTTTCCACTTGTTAAATCCATACAGTCTCTTTCTAAAAAAAAAACTTTTGTTTGTAAAGTTTGTTACTAACATCATATGCACATACACATATGCCAGGTGACATGCATAACTAGTACAGTACGCTACACATACTAGTTCACTACCTTCTTATTAAAATAGCTTAATTGACTTTTGGTCTCACGTGGGAAATGAACAGCAGTCTCTTGGTTAAAGGTCCGGAGTGTGTTTGACCCATCCACCTCCACCTTCCGCCCACCCTATGCACACTTTCACTTTCACTCTTTACACCACAGCAGCTGTTCAGAGTGTCAGAAATACAGCTGCCCACCTGCTCTCATACTGCCACTAAAGGGTGCCTAGGTGTGTTGGTATCTGACGCCGAGGACCACTGACCAGGCGTCAGTATCTGATGAGTTGGGAGTGAGACCAGGTTGTTAGGATCGGCTCATCTGTACTACATTCTTGATGTGTGGTCATTTCTTACCGTCTAAGATGAAGACATTTCAGATAATTATTTAGATTATTCTTGTGTGCAGTTCAGGACTCTTAGTTGTACCCTCACATATGTTTGCTTTTTTGGTAGTGAAGATATCAAACTATCCCACAATGCATCACATAACCCATAAAAATAGGTGATATGTACATGCTCTCCATGTTTACCTATCAGGGATTTAGAATAACTCACTCCCCAACATTATATAAATCAGTGAGATGTTTGTCCAACTGGAGAGCACCAGGAAGGAGCAGACAGGTTTGTGTAATGAGGCTGCATGGTCGGCTACCTTTTCTAGTGTAGCTGAAAACCAAAAGCTTTTCTCTAAGGCTCTCCATGTGATGTTAGTTGGTGTATCCTGTGAGTGTAGGTAGACCTGGGGGGTGTTGGATCTATGTTTCTGCCCCTCCCTGCTCTCTCTTTTTGAACCGGAGCTAGAGTTCTTTGTCTTTATCCCCAGGAGGCGTGGCTTTGACAGGGCTGATTCAGAATACACGGACAAGCTGCAGCACTACACCAGCGGCCACAGTGAGTAAACCCACCACTCCTCTCTGCCTGCGTTTACCGCTGGCACCTCCTTCAGCACCAAGCACACCTGTCTCCATGGCTACCATCGCACACAGTCATCTCCATGGCTGTCATTCAGCCCCTCGGCTGCCTCACACACCTGTCTCCATGGCTACCACCTTGCATGCTGGTGTCCTTGGCTACAGCCCCGCGCAGCACTGCTTCATCTGCCCGTCCCCCCACTAGCGAGTAATCCTGCCCGTTGTTTGACTCTGCTCACTCGGAGCTGGGATTTAACCACAACAGAAACCAGTGTTGGAGTGTGTGTTCTGTGCATCATCACATTTCATAGTTAACTAAATCCATTGTGGTGGAAATAGGTCAGTCTTCACTCATGTTCACGCCATTAGCATGCTAATGCCACATGAGTCATTTGCCATTGTTAAAAAAAAACCCAAAGACCTGGTGAATGAATGGAATTTCTCAATGATTTCCAGTCTTCATACGGTACAGTAGCAGAGAGCTTAAATGACAATAATACAGAAATAAATCTGGGAGAAAGAGCTGAGAAGTAATTTCCTCATAGCTCCGCCTAAGATATTAAAGCTAATCCATCTTTCTGCGGCATGATTGGAAAACGCAGATCTTTTCCCACCTCACGTTTACGACCCTATTTTAATTTGTTTATTTGATTGTGTAATTACCACCCTGCTTCATCCCCTGCTTCATCCTTTTTATGTTAATTCCACTCCAAAGGTAATAGCTTTCCTGATATAATCCGATCATGCTGTGCAAAGAAGTCCAGTGAAAAGTGTGCCAGTAAGACACTCTGGTATTTCACAGCTATTAGCAGAAGCCAGTGTGTCCTGTGTGCATCCTGTCCTCACACCAGTCACAGTTCAGGCTTCTGCCCCTTGTGTTTGGTGGTCTTTGCCATCTTAGGAGGGTGGTCTGTTCAACAGTGCTTGGGAAGAGATTGTAAGGTTTTAGTAATGGGGGGTTTCGCCTGGTCAGATCCTCTCCATCTGTTCATCTCTGCAGCACGTTTCTTCAGCGTAGTGTGCCAGGTTTTTGAAGCGCCATGCATGCTCTTCTCGCTCTGCAGCAGCCCGGGCATGAGTTCCGTATCCATTCAAATAGCCTCAGGCCTGATGTGGAGGTGAGAGCCAAATAATCGGATTTAAAACTCGGGACATTTAAGTCCCTGAACACTTAAAGGCCACCTTAAGCCAATTTACCTGGCATCAGGGCTTAGGAGAGCCAATTTATTTCTTGGAGTGGAGCTGAGCGATGCTGATATAGGGCCCAGGTTTCTCTCCCGAGTGGTAATGGCACTATGACTCACAGAAGATAATATATATATTAACCTGCCTTATCACGGCTAAGAAGACCGGAGGTACCATGTCCTTGCTGGCTGAATAAGTACACGCAGTAGCCATGAGGCACTAGTCATAACCACCATTTGTAGCTACACCGCCTCCTCCATCTTCCAGCCTTCATCACCTGAATGTCCCACTAGAAATCACATAATTGTACAGTAATGTGTGAATGCAAGGTGAATTGATTGTGCTTGAATGCATGTGACTGTAAAGCCCGTAGGATTGTGAGCATGACCACTAGAATGAAATATATTATAGTGGCTCTTTCCTTTTTCCAAGTGACTCCAGGAATGAAGATTTATATTGATCCGTTCACATATGAGGACCCCAACGAGGCTGTGAGGGAGTTTGCCAAGGAGATTGATATATCCTGCGTGAAGATTGAACAGGTCATTGGTGCAGGTAATGGAAAAATCTGACTGAAACGTGGGTGGAATATAACTCTAAAAAGCAGCTTGGGTCTGAGTTGATTTCTAACTACAAACTGATGCACAAAACTGTTTACTGTTACTCATTCATATCACTCTGAGTTTAATGGAACCGTTCCATTTTCTCTCCCCACTCCACAGGAGAGTTTGGAGAGGTGTGCAGCGGGAACCTGAAGCTCCCGGGTAAAAGGGAGATGTTTGTGGCCATTAAAACTCTGAAGTCTGGCTACACTGAGAAGCAAAGACGGGACTTCCTCAGCGAGGCCAGCATCATGGGCCAGTTCGACCATCCTAACGTCATCCACCTGGAGGGCGTGGTCACCAAGAGCAGTCCTGTCATGATCATCACTGAGTTCATGGAGAATGGATCTCTGGACTCCTTCCTCAGAGTAAGGAAACACATCTCTGGATTATATGCATTCTTTATGTGTCTCACCTAGAGCCCTCGGCTAAGAATTTCCTAGTCGACCAATAGTCGTCATTTAGGGCCATTAGTCGACTAGTCACCTGCATGTTTACGATTTAAATTTGATTATTAAATGATATATTTTAGAAGGGGCAACACAATGGTTTGAGTTGAAGGTGTGAGAAAGAATAGTATCAGTAACATTGTTAACACTGTGCTACATTACAGAGAAATACAAAACCGTACTAATGAACCTTCATTAATATAGGCCTATATTTTATCTACAAGTGCACGTCACACACTGAGTGAGCCGCCTGTTAATGACACTGTGGGCTAATGGGCATGTAGCTACTTCCATGTTTCAGATGATACGTCATGTTTGTAGTCGACCAATGAAGATGAGTTTACATATCACCTTGGGTTCGTCCTTCACCTTCTCAAAATGATCCCACACTTTGGATTTCCTGCCCGACATGTTATTAACTAGCCTGTGGAATAACTGCAGGTACCAGCCCTGGAAATGAACCTGACTCTTGTCTGACTGCTGAGCGTGGCCACTTCCTGTGTTTGTCCTTTCAAATTAAATTCCCACATGGTCCGGTCATATAGATTTTTGATTTATTTTGTCAAGGTGCAGCTCCTCAAAGAGTTTTATGTTGATTTTTGTTTTTTGTTGATTTTTGTTTTTCTGCGATTAAGCAACCAATGAAATCTTGCCGACAAATTACCTTTTTGGTTGACTAACATTTGGTCAACTGTTAGAGGGCAGCCCTACATACCAATATGTTTATAACACATACACAGACACCATTTTGTGACGCTTCCCTTCATAACTCCTGAACTAGTTGTTGCAGGGACCCATCATTGTGCTAGAGATAAGTGTTTTTGAGATTGCATGTGTGTGAATTCATGAAGGTGTGGATGCATGTGCATACATAGGCATGTATCTTGCAAAGTAGCGCTCGTCAAACCAGTAGGGTTGTAATGATTCATCAATCTGGATCAATATATATCAATTCAAAGATCAACAAGCCAATGAAATGGTATTGTGGCAGATTTTGTTTCATCCTCCAAAGTCAGTCAGAGAAACGTCAGCTTCTCAGTAAACTCACCCACTGTTTAGTAGGAAAACTGAACATATTCCATTAGTGGTTTATTTGACATCAATTATATGGTGAATGTTTTATTTTCGTGTCTGGTTATTTACTTGACCCATCCCCCATGGGATTATTCACACACAATAACCAAGAACAAACCAGACATTCCAGTTTGTTAACCTTCCATCATCTAACAGCAACTAAACATGAACACAAACATTAATCAAACAAAAACATAAACACAAACCTCCCTCAGACAACGCTTCGAGGGTCATCCCACAATGGAAAAACAACCAAAAAAATAAAATACAAAACACACAAACTCTGAGCACAAGACACAAAACATAGATCCAAACAAGGCAAAATCTACATGAGTCAGAGCCAAACACCGTACAATGGATCTGATTCACAAACCAAGAGCTCTCAGTCCAAACAAAACAGAGTCAAAGGGATTCATCATTATATGTTTCTTTTCTTTTCCAAACCCCAAGCTCCAGACACATGATCAGGAAATGCAAAAACATAATTGAAAAGGTATTCAGTTAAAGACTTAAACTTTTGTACACAATAGTTGTTATAAATTATGATATAACAGACAATTTTGAATCAGTTCCACCTTATTTAGCTCACAGTATTCACCAGTTATCTTCAGTAACACATGTTTATCGTCCAGTTTCAATATGTAGTGGTGATATCGCACATGATCTGGGACTTTTAGGCAAATTTTACTCAACATATTTTTCACATTTGTTATCTTTCTTGAACAAACAGTAACAATAATCAGACATTCAGAAGTGACATTTTATTAACTGATTAAATGTGCGTATGGTAATGACGGCAAACTGCAGGTAAATCACATCTGACAGTGTTTTGATATTCGACTAACTGTACCTGCTGCTGCCGTCGACAGCTCTGCTCTGGAGCCTCCTGAGCTAACGATAACGATCACTGACTGACAGGACGAGCTGCTTCACCGCTTTGAATCCCGGAGGTCTCAATTCAGAGTTTTTATTGTGGTGTGCTTTAAAAAAAATAACATGATATGATGATTTTAAAAGTTTAATGGGAGTTTCTGACAAGTCCATCCGTCAGTGTCTGTTAAAGTTGACAACTGACAAGCTGCCTGTCAGAAACTGATGAGAGGCGATCACCTCCGCCGGGCAGAGAGCATGTTATTAATTATTAACCAGACGATTTCTTTGATGTTGTTGTTGTTGATTCGCAGTCATAGTTGGTTAACATTAATCAACTACAGCTGTGTAAATTCATCGGCAGTTACAGAAGCCCTGGAAGGCAAGGTGAAATCTCCTATATAGGAGATAACACTCCTTATGCAGAAGATAATATCTCTTATGTAGGAGATAAACTTATATTTTTGGCTGTAAATTGCCATTATAGTCAGTGAGATTAATAGTTTTCAGTTTATGTTACATATTGTTGAGACACTGTTCATTATCTTATTATATGATGACGAAAACTCTGTGTGTGTGTGTCTGTTCCATGTTTTCCTCCTCACTGACTTGGTCAATCCATGTGAAATTTGGCACAGTGGTAGAGGGTCATGGGAGGATGCGAATGAAGCAATATTACATCAATTGGTCAAAGGGGGGCGCTATAGCAACCCATTGAAATTGCAAACTTTGAATGGGCATATCTCATGCCCCGTATGTTGTAGAGACATGAAACTTTGCACAGAGATGCCTCTCCTCATGAGGAACAAATTTGCC